ACCAACTAGATGAAAAGGGCTGCTGCTAACTGGTATAGCCAACTACTCTGCCAGTCAGTACCTGGAGTGCAGTGGCCACCCAGTCTGTGAAATGGGTTGTCTTTAAGGCTGCAGGGGAGCTTGTATGATGATAAAGATAAATGTGACTGGACTTTGCTGCTTGCAGGAGAGCAATCCTGTACTCCATGGTGTAAAGTGTCAGCCTCACTATAATTTAAAAAAAATAAATTGGCTTTCTGTGTCATGCCAGACAGTCCAGGGTACCTATTGCAGCAGTCCAGGATGCTTAGACAGTTGACTGGCAAGTCTTTTTTTTTTCCTGTGGACTGCTGCTATTGCAGCAGCTTCTTGAGCTTGCAGACTTAAATTCTCAAATTTACTGAACAAGAGTAAATGGCCTGCTAGCCTTCCAGGTTGGTTTTGATAATGCTGTAAGCTGACAGTACTAGGCTTGTTTGAAATCCCCATGCCCTCTCGTAACATTAGGGAAGAACAAAAAGCATGCTGTCCCTAATCCTACAAGAGGTGACTCACTAAGATCTTCAAAGTCTGTAACTTCCTGTAGGGCAGCTTATCTGTTTACCCCCCTCAGTTACCACTGGGGGACTGGCTATAGCCAGCCTTTGGTCAGTGTGATCTGCATTTGCATAAGTTCAGACACAGTTCCACTGATGTGGCTGTCTCTTCTGTGGAGATGCAACTGGACACAGCAACAGGGTTTTTCCAAGGCAGCCATGGAGTATCTGTTACTGTAATCTGAGGTAGAGCTGTCTGTTAATGTGGTGGTGTGGGAGGGGCCTTAGAATACTAGTGGGAAGAAGCCTGTTTGAAGATGCCCAGGTTCCTGGCATGGCAAAGCAAGGGCTGTACCTGACCTGGATGTCACCTGTAACAGTTCTCCAACCATTTAAGAACAACCTGCTCAAGGATGGACAGGTATTGAGGTGAATTGATGTCTGCTGTCTGTTTCAAGGGAAGCCTACCTACTGCAGAGGGCAGCCCATTTGATAATGGATTAATTATAAAAGGCTCCAGATGTAAGTACTCATCCAGTATGGTCTTCCAGACTTGCTATGCTAGTAACCCATAGTATCTTAATTGGAAGTTTGACTTGTGTTGCTAGCTCACTTCTGAATGTAGGGACTTTCTGCCTCTTGGTGCTCTGGAAGTATCACACATTGCATTGTGAGAACCTGCTTCTCCATGGTGGGACACAGGAAGAATCACTGGTTCTGGATGGACCAGATGCTGCTGGAGTGTGTGTGGCTTGTTCTGAACCTCTGTACTCTTGGGCTGAGCATGTCAATGTATTGCAACTGCTGAAACTGCATTTATGCCAATGGTTCCCTGGCTTGAAGGCCCCTGATAATGTGGTCACTGTCCATGGGTGCAGATCTGTCTGCAGAGCTTCGCAGAACCACTGCAAGGCTTTTAGTAACATCCTCTTTCTATATTGAGGGAGTGTCGCATGAGGTGACTTGCAGCTAACTTAACTACAAGATTAATGTTCTTGGTGCATGACCTTCCTGAGCACTGTAACTATAGCTACAAAGATTGGTTCTAATACTTGGGCTAGGACTTGATCTAAACTACAGGCTTGCTGACAGTGAATATCAGAGGGAAAGCCCTACTGAAAGTCCTGGCAGCGGCAAGACTACAAGAAGTCTTCAGTCCTTACTCAAGCTGTTGCCTGTATGGCAAGTTACATTCTAGTTCTTACTCATCTTGGAGCTGCACAGCTATACTACCTCTGCTACCACTATTGACTAATAGAAGGAACAGCTGTGGTGAGGTACCAGGCAGTGTATCCACAGCATGATGGGAGTGTGTTTTGCTCCCCGGAGCAGTACTAAATCAACTCTGGCTTGTGAGTTCAAGGAGTTACTCTTCAGAAATATTTCAAAATCGAGTTAACCTTTGAAACGGACTTACTGAGAGTAGGTGATCTTGTAAAGCAACTTCTCTGTATATAACACCATTGAACTTATAAATGGCACAGTTCCTGGTTATACACCAGAATGGCTGCTTCTGTGATAAAGCTAGGTAGGCAAAGTGCTTCTCCAGCTGCTGGGTAAATGTTTTGATAGCTCAGTGTGCTTTAACAGTAGTGTTGCAGCATAATTGTGTGTTGAGGTGATGGAGCTGTATGATCCAGACTAAATACATGGAGTCTTGCTGTGTAACAGTGGTGCAGCTCTTGCTGCATTTTCACTGTCTTCCACATAGAGCTCTTCAAACCTTAATCACTGAGAATATTGAGGAAAACATGTCCTTCCAACTCATCAGGGGTCTTCAAATGTAGCACATTAAGTGTATGTGCTTCAAATGTTCACAGCTGCCAGGAGGTACAAGTCCAGATGTGCAGGAGGACTGACCTTGGTGCCAAATGGCTCATAACTGAATAGCTGTGCCGTTAGGTGGCTGTGCCATGGTGGGAAGTGGCTGTCACTTTGCCATCTGGACTGTAATGCTGGGGTGTTGTCAGAGGTGCAAGGAGAACTGCTCAGGCTAGTGAAGAGCAGTAAGACAAGCTGCCTTGTAAGATGTTGGAGATGTAGCTGTGGGGGATTCCAGTGTAAGGCTCTTGGTCAGGATGCTGATAAAAACTTCGTGGGGAGCAGATGTGCCAAGCTCTGAGCTGTATGTGGAGCATGTGTGACTGTCCACCAGTGGGAGTGTAATAGATCTTCAGTGCCATCTAAAAATGTAATGTTACACCTAGCTGCCACAGAGTACATCTAGACTGTGTTAATCTCTCTAGACCAAGTTCAAGGCATAAGCTCCTGCCTGTTTACTAGAAATTGGAATTGACAAACTTGTGTGGATCTGCCCCTCTCCAAAAGCTTGAGCAGGCTGGCTTTCTGTAAGTGGGATTACAAAAGCTGGTTTTGTAATCCATTGTTGCATTAATTGCAACACCTTTAAGTAACTTCAGACTTGGAGGAAGTAATGACTGATCTAATTTTAAATAGTGAACTTCCCTTGTGAGCCTTGGTGTTTCTGGAGAGGCTTATAAACTATTCTGAACAAGAGAAGTGGTTTCTGCTAAATGCTGTTAACCAGTGTAGAAGTCTAGATAGTCTGAATCTTGATTCCACTTACTTCCAGTCCTTAGAAGATGCTTCATCCAACAGAAAAGGTTCATAATTCAAGTTAGTGATTTCTTTCTAGACTTCCTAAAGGGTAGACCCTTAAACCCTACCATCACTGATATTGCTAGCTAAGTCTGTGCACTAGTTTCCAGGCTCTGCTTATGTTTGCAGGTAAAACCTGTCTTCTGCTCTTGGCTCAGGCTTCCTGCTAAGCTGGATTTTAGTATTGAATCGCACTGAACAGCCCTTTACATCTGGCTCAGTGACAGTCAAGGTTCAAGAGCTTTGCTAGTACAGAACCAATTTGTAGTTGATAATGAGGCTTTCCTGTCAGGTTTTTGTAACTAAAACTGAACTTCTTTCTGATAGTGAGTCTTGTGTTAGAGCAGCAGTGCTACCTTTATTAATCTTCTGAAGTTTCTTAGTGCAAAGCCAGGAGGATTACTGTTCAGTTCATGATGGCTCAAAGACAGGCTCATGTAAATGCTGAGTGAGAAGCAGGAAAGCACCTATCCTAAACCCTTTGAAGGCCTCCCAGCAACTCTTTTGGGCAAGATGCACCATCTCACACTTGGATGCTGGTGTAAGGCAGCTACAGATCTTTGTGGAACAAGCAGCTCTCCCTTGTAGAAACCTTAGTTTTTAAGTGGGTGGAGCAAACTCAAATAGTCTATAAACAGAACAAAGATTTGAAATCCCCATGGGTTTAATACTCTCCAGTAGCCTTTTAGAGCAGGAAAGAGCATTTTCATGCTAAATAGGACTTACCTTTGAATATCAGCCTGATGGTGTCTGACAAGGAGATACCTACCCTTCTACATAACTTGTAGTGCTGCCTCAAGGACATAGTCCTGGGTGGCTTCTGACCTGCACATCATCTCTTGGTTGATGGCAAGTGCAATCCAGAGTTAAGGAGTTCCTAGAGTACTCCAGAGCAAGGTTGGATGGAAAGGGGTCTTCCAAGTACTTCAGAATCAAAGAATGAGGTATTTGTGGAAGATCTTGTGAGACTAACACAAAGTTTTCAAGGCAGATGTAACTTTCTGGGGTAGTGCTTCAGGATTTTTCTAGCAGTTTGCAGTTGGAGGTGATAAGCCTATGTTCACCTTTGAAAACTGAGCGTTGGATTCCTGTGTTGGTCTCTGCGCATTCAAGCATTTACACAGGTGATCAGTTAACTTTGGGGTAAAGTGGTGGTTGTCCTCTGTAACCTACAAGCCATGCTCTACTTTGTGGCTCCAGTGGTTGGAGTAACAAGCATTTGAACCTGAATCCTTCCCAGGTTATTGATACATGAAGAGGATGTCCTTTCTCCAAGGAATGAAGTACAGCAATAATATGCAAGTTTGTTGCTATCTCACTCTGTGTCTGAAGCTGAAATGGTGTGTTTAACCCCAGGCCAAAGCATAGGTAGGTCTTGTGGAAGAAGAGGCCCCATGAAGGTGACCTGTTAAACTCAGCCTGAGTGGCTCAAAGTTCAGTGACTAAAACCTGGCTTTCAGCCAGGTTACATCTTGCTGCAGTAGAAAGATGTGCTTTGCTGGATTTCCTCTGCAGTTCAGCTGAGTAGAGCCTCTGAGGGCACAAACTCTGAAGTAATCAGTTAAGATTTGGACCCTGGGGTTTGGTTCCTAAGCAGGGAATGAATGTCTGCTAGGGAGTATACCCTGCAGTGAAGCTAGCATACAGTATTTTATCAACACTGTTTGAATAGCACCTTTTATTGATGTAGCTTTGCTGTAGGACTCCAGATAGGTCACTTCCTCATCCCTTAGGGGAATATTCCTGGCTGACAAACCAAGCAGTCAAGTGACCACGTTTTGCTCAATTCTTCCTTGTGCTGACTCAACTGTTCTAACATTGCAGCCTAGTGAAGGAGATGTATTTGGGGATGTCTAACGCATTTTTTCTCTTCCAGCCTTGGGAGCTGCATATGGAACGGCAAAGAGTGGCACGGGTATTGCAGCCATGTCTGTCATGAGGCCTGAGCTCATCATGAAGTCAATCATCCCTGTTGTCATGGCGGGTATTATAGCTATCTATGGCCTCGTAGTGGCAGTTCTCATTGCCAATGCCCTCTCACCTTCTATCACGCTATTCAAGTAAGTTCCTGCATCTGTCAGTTTTAAGTTTGTCCTGTCACTGTTTTGATGCTGCTGACTGGGTGGGTTTTGCTGAAGACCCTGGGAAGGGACTGTCAAGGCTGTGTACTCCCAACCTAGGCTTAGCAGTATGGGCTGTCCTACCTGATGGCTTAGCCTCAGTGGTAGTGCTGCCTGATTAGTTTGCTGTGTTGGCTAACAGATCAGACATCCTGCTGCTAGAGATAATGCAGTGGCTTATGGCTTGAAGGAAACTGTACTGGGATAGGAGGCTAAGCTGGTTGCATGATGCTGCATTCTAGACCTGGAATACACAGGTCTTCCCAAGACAGTCTAATCAGACTGTGTAAATAGTTCTCCTGTTGCCTGGGAGATGCAGTTGAATAATTAATATTGCTTGCTGCTTTATGTGCTGGTAAAGCAATCCGCAAGCTATACATTGGGCCTCTGCACCAGCTACAGTCTGAAACTTAATCTACACTGGCTTTTAAGAATAGCTGGAACTGGCTTGGAGACCTCTCAGAATAAAACAATGCTTCTGAGGTCTAACAAATATTTGTGTCACTGTACAAGCTATGTACACTAGTGAGCAGTGTGGCTGGCCTGATAAGCCATGAGCTAAGAAACAGCAGGTATCAATGCTCCTTTGCAGTTACCAGGTGGCCAGATACTGACAGGGACTGCTCCTTAAGTACCCTGCCTGGAAAACAAGACCATTCCTGTCCAGCTTCTGCAGTGCAAGAGACCTAATAATCACCTGGGTGTGTTATGGCTGTACAATAAGTTGCTAAAGGTGGGAGACAAAAGCAGCTGTGAAGAGGCTACACAGCACTGCGGGACAGGTGTTACTGCAAGGTCTAACCCAGACATACAGCTCTGGCAGCGTGCTGAGCCTGCAGCTGACATGGCTACGGAGAATCTGGGTGGCCATGTGAACTTGCAGGCCCACTAGCTTAGTGTATGAGCCATACCTGAGTATCAGCTAAAGGTCTTGCATAGCTGCCATTTTTTTAAAGTATCAGAGCTAGGAGTCTGCATCTGCTTTGTGAGACATACTGTGCTTGCTTAAAGGGTATAGAAGCTCTTTCTGCAGGAAAGAGGTTCCCTTTAAATGTTGGGGAATGCAAAAAAGGCTAGCCTGAAGTTGAAGGGTTGGGTGTCCTGCTTGCCACTGAAACTCTCTTCATCTCTGTCCCACAGGAGCTTTCTTCAGCTGGGTGCTGGCTTGAGTGTGGGCCTCAGTGGTCTGGCTGCTGGCTTTGCCATTGGCATCGTGGGTGATGCAGGTGTACGGGGAACAGCACAGCAGCCCAGGTTATTTGTGGGCATGATCCTGATTTTGATCTTCGCTGAAGTCTTGGGTCTCTATGGCCTCATCGTTGCCCTTATCCTCTCCACAAAGTAAATGCTGTGGTATGATGTAAAGAGTTGTAACAAATCCATGTTTAAAAAAAAGCTCCAGAATGAAAATGGTCTCTCCAATGTGTACAGTTGTCCCAATTTGGTAGTTGATCTCTTGTAAATGCGCAACGTATGTTAGTGACTTGTCTGTCCTGTGTGTACTTCAATATTAAATTGGATGGGCTGCTCCAAGCCTGCTGTGTGGCTTGGGGTGGCCTGTGTGCAATTTTCCACCCATTGCTGTTAGTACTTTATGTATAAATATGAACTAGAAATGTAATTTTTTCTCTTCACTGGATGTTTATTTATAAAAGACTTGACATGTTCATACATCTATGGAGCAAGGATTTTCAATTTCCCATGCTATATATATTAATCTTATATATAGGTAGATTACACTGTGGGGTCAATTGTAAGTGCAGAGAATTCCTTGGATGTAACTTTGATTCTAAAGATTGCTGTAGTGTCCTGGTATTGGAGTATGAGAATTTCGTGTTTTATTACAGCAATTGTCCGAAACACTCCTGTGTTTCAGTAGTAACTGCGTATGCTCCGGCATCAGAGTCCTGCACCCAGTGTTGGGTTACAAACTTATACCATGTTTCCAAATAAAACTTCCTCACTACATTGCTGTAATGAGTCCTCTGCCTCTGATTTCATGCTTTTGCTGTTCCTTTAGGAAGAGGGGGGGTTCCCTTAGGGGGAGGCAGGGTCTTGAAGTGACTGGGTACCATGCAGGAGTGGTGCTGTCATCAATGCCAAACCATTCCCTTTTTCTCCTGGGGGAGAAAACAGCGATGCTGTTTCCATCTGCCCATAGGCAGTACTCATGGTGAGCATGGAACACAAAGCTGCTGCAGTGCTGTGCTCACCCTGATCAAGCAGTGTGGCTTTGCTCTGGCATGTGGTAATGCCACATAATGGGCTGTGCAGCAAAGTCAGGGGCAAGGGTGCAGGTGTCAGCAGCTCCTGTTCCTGGTCACTTGCTGAAGGGTCTGCAGAGAGCTTGTCCTTGTGCTCGCTCCGCTGAACCTTAGCTGGTTCCATTAGCAGCAATTGCCTCTAAAGTACCTGCACAATAGTCTTGTCAACAAAACGGGTTCATTTAAGAACTGGTTTAACTTGTAGTAGATCGGAGCATTTGAGATGAGTAGTTCTGCTTTTGCAGCTAGTGAGTGCTGTGACAACCTTCTCTTGTCATGGGGAGTTATGAATGTTGCGAAGCCACACTGAAGCTCACATGGGAAATGTGTTGGACCCTTACAAATGTAGAACTTGTTCCAAATTGCCTTTGGGATGTATGTTACCTTAATCTTAGTTGTGTATCTTGGAGAACAGGTCAAGCTTTACCTTGTTCAAGCCAAAATGTTAATATTACTGATACTTAGTACTAATAATGCCTTTGTGATCAAACTAAGCTGAGGAATCTGGAGTGATCTGTCAGAAACTCTTCTGTCAGCCTGGTTGGGAATGAAGGTGCAGTGGTGTAAATGTTTTTTACCTTGGGTGTACACGGGCAATGAACAAGTCTGGTGTGAGTACCACGAAGAGCTATGACCAGAGCACAAGTCACTGAAGCATGGCTGGAGCTTCTCACCTGGCAGGAGTGTTTGCCAGGTGTGGTGGCACCTTGCATACCTCCTGGGTAGCTGGTCTGAACTGGGGACTGTTCAGGAGACTTCAGCTATGAGCCAGTCATTCTGCTAGCATGAATTTTCACAAACTCTTGTGAAGGTGGAGTTTTAACAACTGTTGATCATGCATAATTACCAATTGGTTTATTCTCTTTGCTATACAGCTGATCTGTCTGCATTCATTTAATAGGCTGTTTGGCTCTGGGGTGGGCTGTACTAATGGGTTTGTGTTTTGGAAGGGCTTTTCTGCTTGGCAGTCTGAGCAGTGGCAGTGCTTGTGCTGTGTGGAGGCATAAGTTGGTGTAAGGAAAATCCTGGATATCTGCTGAAGCATTGCCTGGGGTAAGGGAAGATTTCCTGATCTGAATTGCATTGATCATTCTTTTCTTCAACAAAAGTAGATGACTATAAACTTGTGAATTAGACTTTACCCAGGGGTCATAAACATCTATGGAAACTCAAGCATAATTCTCTCTCAGCACTGATTGCAGTGAGTGCCTTCCCAGTACTTCTGTGCAGAATCTGATAGAGCTTGCAGCTGGGAGAGGGTAAATCATGAATTCAGGCTCTGGAAAGCGTGCCATGTGCATCTTGCAGTTCTAGTGAGAGGAATTGTATTTTGCTTGTGTAGCAAGATGGGAGGAGGTCCTGGCTGGGGCTGCAAAAATGTTTAAGATCTGGTTTTACCTTCTCTGAGGGGAGCCTGCTGCCAGCCTTATTTCTTGCCGATTTACAAGACTATGAGTAAATTGCATCTAGAGGGCAACTAAATGCTGGTGGTAGCTCTTGTCTCTAAGAGAAATAAGCAATTTAAAGGCACCAGCTAAAGGCACTCCTAAGATCCCATTGTAGTTTAGGATGGTGATGGATACTTATGTAACCAAATGCAAAAATCCCATCATGGCATTTTGTTTCATGCCTTGGAACATCAAGCCTTTCTCATTACTATATGAAGTCAGGAGAACAGAGCACAAAAAAAAAAAAGCTGGGGTTAGCATGCATGGGGGGAGGATTGCTTTGTGCTGAGTACTGGCAAATACACTGGGAGTAAAATTAACAATCTGAGCATGTTGCCTCGGCCAAGCATTTTCTGACAGTGATGCTCTAGATCCTCATTGATGACTCCCAGGTGAAAACTCACATTTCAAGCCCTTCACTGATGCTATTGCATCAGCAAATTTCTCAAGTGATTCAGGGCATTAGGAAAATAACGGACTTTTTGGTCCCTTTCCTTCATTTACTGACAGCAGCGTGCTAGATCAGAGCACAGTCCCATCTGGCAGGGATTGACTTTGTATTTGGTTTGGAAGAGGGGAACAGGCAGCCTCAGAGCGTGAAATGAGACTTGTAGAGTGCCTGATTAAAAGAGGTGGCGTCTGCTGGCACATGAACAGTCCTCTCTAACGTGGCAGATTGCGTGCTGGTGAGCGTGCACTGCAGAGTGAGTCAGCCCTGCAGAGGGAAGGGAGCAGGGTGGCTCTGCAGCAGCAGTTGAGGGTAAATGGCCATTAGCAGTCGGGTCAGGCTAGGTAAGGTTAAGGGATGCCTGCTGCCAGATGCTGCCTGCACAGACAGTGCCTTCACAGAGCTTGCTGACCTTTCTCTTTTTAACTCTTTCATATTGGTTTGGTTTGGGGCTTTTTTCAGATGCTGCAGATTTTTTTCTTTTTTTTTTTTTACTGCTCTGTTGGAGAAGGATTTTTAAGTAGTAGGATTTTATCTGTGATTGCTCAAGGATTGTCTTTCCTTGAGAGACCTGGTTTACAGGGAAGCGTAGCAACCTGGAAAAGTAAATAAGTGTTGGGGAAATAAAAACCTCATTAAGAGAAACTGATCCCAGAAACTAAGCCGCTGTTTTCAGCTACAGGGTAACAGCAGATCTAATGAAACAACTCTCAGTGAACCTTGTTTCCTTCGCAGTCTAACCATGGGGATATTGATTTTACGGCTTTTTGCTGTTTCCATCCAGCCTTACTGTACAAACCATCACTGCTCCTCAGGTGAGAATTACCTCTCTCTCTGACACACAGGACTTACCACCTCTGCTCTTAGTGTATCTCTTTCTGCTCTACAGGTATTAGCTGCCATCTTCTTCTCTCAACATAATTAAATTAAACCCAGAGTAAGTCTTCCCAGTACCACTTATCCTGGAGTGGGAATTTTCTGTTTCAGGGTCAAAGGATTGTGTCCTGAAAAGCTTCTCCATTTGTGTTCCTGTTACTCACTGATGAATGCTCTTCAGTTTCTCTGCAGTCCACGCTTCATTTAGCTCCTGAGACAGTCACAGCTTTGCAACTCGTATCACTGAGTTTCTGTGGAGCTAGTTCCTGTATCACGGTGCTAAAGCACACAGAAAAAATCCTGACCCATCCGTACAGTGTAAGGCCCAAAGCTCTCCGGGAGCCAAACTGGAGGGTCCAGGGTGCCTCCCACAAGGTTTCCACAGACCATTGACAGCTCTCAATGGCCCATGAGAGTAGGAGCTGGGTAGCAGGAGGGCAGGACGAAGCTCCTGGAGAATCAGTGGCTTGTGTTTGCCATCCTCCTTTTGCTGAGGGGACGAGATGCACTCATGACAGGCTCGAGTCCTGGCTCTTCTGGATTTACCAAGGGGATACTGGTGTCTGTTTCAGTCTTGGACCCTTCTTTGGCACTTTGAACTGTCCTGTCGGTGCTATTAGATTGGTGCTTTCCTCCCTTGCCACTGGGAGAGGCTAAAGGGGTGACCTCAGGTGGCAGAGCGTGATAACAACTACCTACACCTAATGGCTTTGTCTGCGTAAGGTAGGCTGAGGAGAAATCTTCGGAAATCACGTATATTCCCAAAATGGGCAGAGCGTTCTCAACTCATAGATGTAAACAGCCTCCCTGGCTCTTGTGTGCATTAGGACAACTTCTTAGACCTCTTTGTGAACGCACATGAAAAATTAGAAGCCAAGGCTGCATCTCTACCAGTGCTTCATTTGGCAGCAGTGCTAGCCCAAGCCCTCTGCACCTTCCTTCATGTCTGTAGCATGCACTTCCCTGTTTCTCCCAAGCGTGCTGGTACAACTTCTCATGCCACCAGGCAGTGAATCTAATTTTGGAATTGAGCCAGGTTAAAAATAACTCAACCTGAAGAAAAAAATTTTGCTAAAGAAAATGCAAGTGAAACTACAGCTTGTGATTCCCTCAGCCTATTACTGGGGCAGCGGAGAGAAAGAACGTGCAATTTTTAGAGGAAGAGTGTGCAATTATTGGTGATGCAAGACAGGGTTAATTTAATACTGAGAAATAAAATGAGACCATCCTAAGGGATAAGACTTAAGCAGACAGATACATGACATAAAGTTGGGCTGGGCGACATACCTACAGCATCGATGAGGCAAATTTCCATACCTTTCATCTCAGCACAGGCTGTTCTGTTCTTCCCAGCACTGCAGAGGGAGGTCCAGGCCATTTTCAGCATTCTGATTCAGTGGTTCGCTTGGGGGCTTGCAGCCTAGAAAAACGTTGGCTCTCTGTCGCCGAAGGGCAGGTGAAGCTGTGTCAATGGGGCGGACCCCATGGCAGCACCTTTTATAGTGGATGTTCCTGTTTGTATGCAGTCAGTACTTGCATTTACCTAGATGTCTCTTCCACTGCCAAGAAAAGTTACTGTCACACATCTGTTAGCGTGTGTGTTCATATGAAAGTGCCCTGTTTTGGCTGCAGGTGGTTTGGGTGCTGGATGTGCCTTTTGACATCTGAATTCAGCAGCTTGAAAGGTACTTCCTTCCTCGCAGAGTCATTTGCTCAAACAAGCAGGCCTGAGATCTGCTTTTAGGATTCATTTTCTCATCTTCCAGTTTTGGAGTCTCCTCAACTTCACCTGTACTGAAGCCACACATCATTCCCACCAATACGCTGCTGGGTGCCCCAGACATGGGTAATTTCAGCTGTGGTGAGGAAAACCTGCCTGAAGCCATTCTTAGCCTCAAATTCCCAAAACAGTGCTGCACGTAGTTTTCCTGGCCCC